TCCCTGTGAAATAAGCAGTCTCACTGTCAAGTGCGTAGGAACACTGGGTCCTTTGGCTGTCAGCAGTGGCACATAAACCACAAGCTGTAAACAGTCTCGGAGTGTGAGCTAGCCCCTGAGAGGAGAGGCGGGCTGCTTCCTGTTTCTCTCATCCAGAGGAAAGCCTGGAACCTCAAGCGTGAATAAAACGCCCTTGTCTGTGTGAGCTCTACATAAGCCCAGGTGGCTGGCTGAAGTCTTCTCATTTAGAATCTCCCAACACTGGGAAGACAGACACCACCCTTCCCCTTCCATGGAATGCTGACATTCAAACACACAAGCCTGAGGATGCTTTCCAAAGTTTATTAAAAATCAAAGAATAGAAAACTTTACATAAAAATATGTCAATTTTACCTCCCACATGTGTCCACACAAAACATCAAACATGATCTCTTTTCGCGAAGCCGGAGGCCGGTGACCACAGCGGAGCCTGACCAATTCATGGGGCTCCCATGGGTGGGGTGGAGTCTGGCCCTGCCCTGGGACCACCCTCGGGCCGCCAGGCAGGCCCCCACGGTGGTCTGCTGGCTGTGGGCTGCTCAATATTGCTAAATCGTAGAGATTAGTACAGGCCTACGAGTCAGTGTATATAAATATTTCTGTATCGATAGGTTCACAATTGCAATACTTTAAATATGGTGGGTAACTTCCGGTGGCCGGCAGTGGGAATGTGCTACTCTATCCCGGACGGCTAACGGTGGGGGGAGGCGGGGGTTCAAGGGGCAGGGCTGCGGGGCCCTGTCCTCTCGGGCGGTCACCTCTCTGGACATGGGCTCTGCTGGCCTGCTCCGCAATTCAGCTAGATGGCACGGCCGTCTCAGTGCTGTCTGCTATGGGACCTGGGCAGTGGGTGGGGCCACGGTCCCCCATCCTCCTACAGGGACAAGGCTTGGAAGACATGGCTAAGCCCCAGGACAGCTGTGGTGCTCTGGAAACGCTCTTGTTCAAGCACAGGTGAGAGAACATGGTGTGGCGGCAGAATACACTTGCATAGGACACCTGTCTGCACCTGAGGGCAGGCCCCCGGACCCACTAGGATGCTCCCCACCCACCCATAGAGCTGCTCTTAACAGAACAAATGCACAGTGCTGGAGAGATCCCTCAACGGAATCAACATAACCCCTTTCTCCACATTCCTAAATCTGGGCCCCGATGTCCGTCCCGATGTTCCATAGACCCTTCGGTACAGCTTTGGTGAGCAGGGCAGCTGGGAGCATTCCAAAGGTCACACTGTGTTCTCTGAATGGTTTCACAGTGGGACAGATTGCTGGCACTACAAATGCTGGGCACGTCGTCTTACTTCAAAGAACCCACCGAACACCAGAACGTTAGAACTCCGTGTCCCCGTCTGTCCAGGGCTCAGCTGTCCCTGTATCCAGTCGGTGAACACGCCAAGGCTGTGTGTCCAGCCCGAAGGAAAGCTGTCCAAACACATGCCTAGCCCCTATGGAATTCAGAATGACGCTCCTCAGACCACCAGCAACACGATGAACCCAACTTAGAAAATGCAGCTGGCGAAAGGATCTCGACTTGTTTAAAAACCCTCCTCCCTTAGATATAACTTACGCGAAAATAGGAAATTAAATAAAAATATCTTGAGTTATTGCACAAATCATAAGTCTTCGATATTTACATAGAAAACCAGTTCTGGAATTTCAAACAAAACATGAGGGCAGTGAGACCATGGCGACCCCGGCCTGTCCGCGGACGGCTCCCTCGGCCACGCTGATGAACGGAAAACAAAACCCAAACTGCGGCCCGAACGAAGCGCAGACGGACGGTGGGACGCTGCTGACACACCACTATCTGCTGAGGCTGACGGGCAGGCTGTCACGAGTGTGCGTGTGCTTCTTCCTCCTCCAGCCGGTGCGGTTGTACTGGTGGTGGCCCCGGTTCCCCATGGGGGGACGCACGCTGCTGCTGCCCACAGAGCCGTGGCCACTGGCCTGGCCGTGCGAGCCTTTCACCGACAGCTTCATACCGCTGTGCTGCTGGGACACAGGGAGGGTCAGAGCCTGTTCTCTAGGAGACGTCCTCCCGCCAACCTTCTAATCCCAACCCGGGCAGACAGGCAGAGGAAGCTGCTCAAGGCCCACCCCAGACACCTGACGGGACTGCACCCTCATGGTGCGGCCCTGCCCCAGTCACTTCCTTAACAGCTCCAGGGCACAGCTCAGAGAGGGCCTTCACCTGCTCTGACTCAGGACTCACCAGCTACCTCCAGAGGCAGCTACCCTAATGCAGCTGGCCTGCCAGGGTCTGCAGCGAGTGTGTGTGTGTGTGTGTGTGTGTGAGTGTGTGTGTGTGTGTGTCCAGCTGGCCTGCCAGGGTCTGCAGCGTGTGTGTGTGTGTGTGTGTCCAGCTGGCCTGCCAGGGTCTGCAGCGAGTGTGTGTGTGTGCTGTAGCGTGTACATGGGGCTGCAAGGGCATGTGGGGTAGAGAGCATGGCCGTGCAGACCCCACGCAGGTTGCATCACCTGATCTAGGTTTTACAAGCACAGTTTCAGCAACGACACTGAGGGAATGGAGAGACGGGGAAACCGTGCCTTGTGTCAGCCTGCTTGCTTTCAAGTGCGTGATGACAAGGTGAACTAGTTAAAAGGTGTGTTGGGGGACAGAATGCAGTGTGGAAGGAAACCATGTTTCATCTGCAAGTCAGTCTGCAGCCAGTCTGCACTCTGTTACAAAGTAGAGGAAGGACGAGGCCGACTGTGGCCAGAATGTCCCGAGAAGGAATGATGGGGCCAGGTCCAGACGTACCTTATGATACAGAGTTGGGCTGCTCAGTGGATGGGGTGCAGCAGGGGGGGCCGGGGGAGACATGTGATGGACGGCTTTCAATGACGGGGTACCTTCCAGGCCCCCCTGCCTGCAGGGAACAGGGGCCACCCCGAGGGTGGGGGGAGGGACCGTAAACCTGGTCTGGAGGGAAACAGAGCAGGTAAGGCACAGCAGAGCCAGCCAATGAAGCCCGGGGTGCGGACCGGCGCAGCAAGCCCACGGATGGACATGAAGGGACACCGCCAACAGAAAACACCCGACTGCCCGAATTCCACTTTGACTTTGCAAGGGGCCTGTGCTCTGAACCTGGGTGACACGGATCGGGGCCATGTCCCCACCCTGGCACGCCCCCCACCCACAACCCTGATGGCCTAGACACCTGCTCTGTCAACAAATAGTCTGCACCCCTGGGAGGGAACAGGGGCCTCCACAGACCGAAGCCAGGGGATGTGCAGTCAAGCAGCTAAGAACCAGAGGCACATAGTGGGCACCACGGCCTTGGGGAGCCACCCCAGAAGCCACGTGTCCGCCAAGTGCGGGGTCACTTGGAACAAGCCGATCCACAACTCCGGGAGCTGCTCCGCCAGCGGCCTTGGCAGCCTCACTTGGGGACAGAGGCTACACATCCCCGGCCTTACTGCCGGGGGTTCCACAGGACAGGAAGGGTCGAGTCTCATGAGCACACCATCGCCCTGCAAGGAACTCACAGCCCTACTTCAGCGCCAGCTTGGGCACCTGGTGTGTCAACCAGCACGTAGCTGACCTCCCACACGTCGCAGGATTGACTGTGATGCTCAGGAACTGAAGGCCAGTCCACCCAGAGCCACCGCGCACTGCACACACCTGGTTGGTTGTTGTCATAGTCAGTGTCCGAGAGGCACCAGGCTGGGCTTTGCTGCTGGGCAGGGGTAAGGCTGCAGGCAGAGTGGCCATCAGTGGCGTGGGGGCCCGCAGGCTAAACTGATAAACACTGGGCACTGCACAGGGCGGCGTGTCCGAGTCCTGCACCCAAAAACAGGGGAGCATGGCACCCAGGAGCCAGGGAAGGCCAGAGGGGCGGGGACAGTTGGAGGTGGGGCCTAGATGATGGGGTGAGGCCTAGGTGAATGAAAGCAAGAGCTGGGTGGAAGAGGCAGAGCTAGCATGGAGGCGGGCAGGACCAAAGCAGGGTAACTGGGGGGGTGGAAGGGTGGGGTTGGGCCTAATGGAAGGGGCTGACTGAATGGAGGATGGGTTGAGTGGGTGTGGCCAGGGCTGCCAGGGCGTGGCTTGGGCAGAGGTAGGCGGGCTGGGCGCTCACAATGTCACTCCCAGAGAGGGAAGACACAGAGGAGGCGGAGGAGCCAGAAGAGAGCAGCTGGGGGCTGGACAGGGACAAGGTCAGGCGGCGGCTGTAGGGTGAGCCCAGGTCTCGGCTCTGGGCCTGCTCCCCTTCACACACGCTGATGTGCTCCTTCTGCTTCATCCTGTTATCTGGGGAAAAGGGTTTGCTCAACGCTTGGGCAGTGGAAACGTGGTAATGGTCCAATGACCACCAGTAACAGCAGGTCCTGCTCAGGACAAGCCCCTGAAAGCTCCCCGGGAAACCGCCACCCCTACAGGCAGCAGTTATGTACGGATGGAACAAGTCAGCTCCGGCTGTCCACTTTTCCAACTGTGCATTTGATGAAATCAAAAGCGGATCAAATATTCCTGATGACCATTTAGGACTCCAACTAGTATTAACAGAACTACAAAGACTTGCTGTTGAGTCGGTTCTAACTCGGAGCAACCCTCTGAGGAGTGACTGCTGGTTTAGACCACCAACCGGGCAGTTAGCAGTGCATACCCTACAACAGCAACAACAAAACACAAGAGCAACTGGACTCTAATGGCTAGGTGAAACCTAGTACTTTGCACATACTGGGTTGGTTCAATTAGGCCACTGATGTCAACTTCACCTGTTTACTACTGAAGTTTGTGATGCCAACTGTACCAGGACCTCTGAGCTGCCCCGTTCTCAGCTCACGGCAAAATGAAACGAAAACAGACCGCTTGTACTCAGTTTGTGATTTCTCACAAGTAGCGGTGCTGCTGAGGCCTGACCATCTGGCCACGCCGTCTCACCGAGCTCAGGTGACGGGCTGGCCCTGTCGCCCCACTTCTCCTTGATCCAGCGCCGGTAATCGATCACCTCCTGCGTGACCTTGATAATGCGCCCCAGTGTGCTGTGGAGGGACAGTGTGCAGTGAGCCCCATGCCACCCTGCTGCCCAAAGCACACAAAGACCTCCCAGGCCACAGGACAGAGTGAGCATGGGCAAGCCACAGTCCTGGGACCGCCATCACTGTCCGTCAAACACCTGAGTGGGAGTCCCCTCCCCCAGGGCCAGCAGGGGTGCACAGAAGGGAGGCCAGCGCCCAGCCTCAGAGCCACTGTGTCCACAGCTGATGGTGGGAGGCTCCCTCACCATGGTAACAATGGGACCCTCCATCCCATCCCAGGGCACAGGATGAAGGACCACATGCTGGATCCACCAACCAACAGAAATCAGTGAGACATTTCTCATCTGGCCCAGAAATCAATCAAATACAGCCAGCCCCAGAAGTCATCCTTTCATAGTATCTCCAAAGGTGACCACAAAAGGAATGAGAACTGCTGTCCCAGATCTGCTTCCAGCTCACGGCCTTCCCACAGGGTCACAGCAGAGCTGGGCCCCAGAAGGTCCTGGCTGGGACAGTCTAGGCAGCTGGCCAGCCCCTTCTTCCACGGTACCAGCTGAGCGTCAATCACCTACTAACACACTGCAGCGGGACATGGGGTCCCTTACCTCTCTGAGTCTCTGTTAGGATAGGACCGGGCGAGGGGAGACACGGCATGGCTCAGCACGATGTAGGCGTAGTCGAACACCTGCTTCACCTGCATGGCCCCATAAGAGCTCCGGCCCACGTCGTTTCCTGCAGCAGAGACATAGGCAGGTTGGAGTCACTGGAGGCCCCCCTATGACCGAGCAGGCCAGAAGGCAGGTCACCAGGCAGGCTGTGCAGGTCCCACACTCACAGACAATAGTGTTTCGTCTGTGCACGGACAGAGTTGGGGACAGGGCAGCACCGGCACGCCCACAGACCAGGGCCACTGTTCTGAGAAGAGCGAGTTCTAGAGCTAGCCTGCACAGACGGACTCGCCTGCTGCTCCCTCAGGTGCACCACCCACGAGACCAGGGACCCACAGTCCTGCCCACTTCCCATAGAGGAGGGGGTCCCTGAGCCTCTTGACCCCTGGCAGTATCACCGTCCTTCTGCCCCCACGGGCTGAGTACATCCTCACCAGGCAGCAAGGGGTCCCCAATGCCCCATCTCCCTGCACCCCCCACCCCCCACACTGGCAGTGTCCCCTCGTGGGCCCTCACCAGACAGCAGGGGGTCTTCGATGCACAGCATCGACGGTCTGTACCCGCTGGGCATGGCCTTCATGATCTCCTCTTTGGCGATGTAGGCTCCTCCTTCTTTGATCCGAATACCAGTCTTCAAGTAGTTAAAATTCCTTCCATAGAGTTCAAAGAACTCCACCAGCAGCATGCCCAGGTTCTCGTCAGCCCGCCGGGCGTCGATCCGTGGGTGCAGCTGGGAAAGCAACACAGGGGAAGTGTCCCTCAGGCCAGCTCACACCTGCAGTCTTCAGGGCTCCACGCTATTCTTAAATGCACGAGCCTTTCCGTTCCCCACCAACCCTCTGATGTCCCTCGTGGGTCCCCGTGCCACAGAGCTAGAGTGAGATGACCAGCTGTGGCATGGACACATGGTCAGTGCCCCATGGAGATGCCCCCTGGCATTAGGATAGTGCACGCAGTGGCAGTTTCCATGGAGACGGAGCACTCGGAGGTTCACGGCTCAGAGCAGAGCCACGCTCCACGAGTTCGTCCTCAAACCAAGATCCACACACAGCTGACCTAGAGGCCGGGATGACCGCAGCCGCCCCCGCCCGCCCCGCCCCCCACAAGCTATAAAGGAGGTCAGTGGGCCCCTGACCCCTAGAGGGAGGCACAGGCACCTGCAGGAAGCTGATGACCATTAAAATGAGGCTGTAGGAGCTGATTCCGCCCGTGAACACCTCGTTCAGATCCCTCTGCAGCAGGAACTGCTTCAACACTAAAATCAGGTACGGCAGCAACGAATACTTCTGCAAAGGCCACAGAGGAGACAGGGCTCAGAGCGGGGCCGGCGTACACACGCCTCCAATCCAGCTCCAGCTCGAACGCCCTCACACGCAGAGCTCTGAGATCCCAGCAACCGTGCCCACCCCTTATCACAGGTTAGGATTCAGCGGGGCTAGGGGCGCTCCTGTGGAAGGGAAGACCCCCCGCCGGCCCCCTAGCTTCCAGTGCACGCTCAGCACCCGGCACACAGTACACCTTCTGCTAGGCAGAGCGACAGCGATCCTGGGGTGTCTTCATAAGAGCAGAAGAGCAGACAGCTTCCTCCTTCTCCTGAACCGGTGCTTAACCCACAGTACCACCTGGAGCCTGCCTACCACCCCCCCAGAGCTGTCAGGGCCAGCATGGCGCACAGGTACACACAGACCTTCATGTAGCTCTTGATGAGCTCGGCTGCCCGGACACCAGTCTCCACGTTAAAACTGATGTCAACTTTCACTTCCGTCTCCTGGTCGGTGAGTTTGATGATCGGGACCTGCAGAGGTGGCATTTGAGAAACTGGGTGTTGTACTCGGCATGTGCAGCCACTCACCGAACGCTGTTGAGTGTGGTTTCTCCTCATTCATGAGAGGATCTGTGAGACCACTCCCAAGGCTGGACAGCAAGAGGCCAGCATGTCCTGTCTGACCTCCGGCTCAGAGCGCCACAGGTGTGTCCAGGAGAATTTCTGAGAGTGAGCAAAGTAACTTCTAAGACAGTTTTTAAAACTTTTTGTACTGATACTCTTTCTCCAGACTACTGGGTACTTTGGAGTCTCAGTAACTAAACTATAAGCAGAATCAAAGAAAGACCTTTCTTACAAACCAGAGAATAATGGCTACTTGGAGAATGACCACCAGAGGGCACCCAACACCAGCTGCATAAAGGCTCTTTTCCCTCCAAGCCCCAAATGATGATCTTTATCGCTTTCACCATACCCGGCGGGAACAAGGAAAGGCTTCAAAGTCTCCGGAAGGGCCCTCTCTCAGCTACACCTCAAGCTGCTAAAATGGACAGCCGGGGCACTCCGCCCAGGGCAGAGCAGTGCCCCATCCTGGTCCCAGGCTGCACAGCACCTGCGCCGCAATGCCACTGTCAACCAGCAGGTGGTGCCCGCAGCCCATGCTCCCAGCAAGGGCTGCCCCTCCTTTCTTCCCTAAGAAGCCCTCAAATGCTGGGCTCTACCACCTGTATTACACACATATACAGGCCATGCACGCCCAGACTGGACCCTGGATTTGGGAAATGAGCAGTGACACTAACCCTACTGCCGTCCTGTGGGTTCTGACGCACAGTAGGCTGCAGAACGGGTTTCAGAGACTGAACCGACAGTGGTGGGTTCAAACCACTGACCGTACAGTCCGATCCAATGCTTAGCCCACCTACACCACCAGTGTCCATAGGAGTAACATTACTATCCTACTAAGTGCCATCCCACAGGCTCCAGCTCACGGTGACCCCGTGCAGGTTTTCCGGAAGCAAGCAGTCTCTTCTTGGTCCCCTGGGCGCTCACTGTGCTGCGGCCCCCTCCCCGCCTGCTGAGCGTGGGACATTTCAGAAGGACGCACAGCGGAGCAGTGCTGGAGAGATGACATGGGGCCCCGGCCAGAGGGGCGCTGGGGATGTCTGGCTCCAACACCCGAGTGGAGACAGGAGGCACCCTCGAGGGAGCGGCAGTGGATGAGCCGGACACTCGGGCAGCCAGGACCACCACTTTTGCCTTCTCCCTCCCAGCAAACGTGTGGATGTAACTCAGACAGCGTCCCTTCCTCCCTGCCCACTCAACCTTCACCAGTCTGAGCCACTGGAGGTGCACGTCTCTAGCAACAATCCGTGGTTGGTGCCATGTGTCCTGTCCAGGGCAGGAGAGATGTCCTCACTTCCTGCTGCGTCCCCAACACAGCAACCTTCGCACCACAACCCACCAACAGGGCGTCTCCGCCAGCTTCTGCCCTTTCCTGGGGCCATGCTGTAGGGCCAGCACCCCAGCTGAGCCCAGCAGGAAGCCAGCACCCTGAAGACAAGAGCCAGCCCCTCCTTAACCCCAGCAGGGTCAACCATGGACAGACAGCTATGACGCGGGGACAGAACCGAGTCTTCCACTGATGGTCAGCCACGGACAGACAGCTGTGACACGGGGACAGAACCGAGTCTCCCACTGACGGTCAGCCACGGACAGACAGCTGTGACGCAGGGACAGAACCGAGTCTCCCACTGATGGTCAGCCACGGACAGACAGCTGTGATACGGGGACAGGACCGAGGCTCTCACTGACATTCGGTCAGTCACGGACAGACAGCTGTAACACGGGGACAGAACCGAGTCTCCCACTGATGGTCAGCCACGGACAGACAGCTGTGACATGGGGACAGAACGAGTCTCCCAATGACACGTCAGCCAAATGACACGTCAGTCATGGGACAGGCTAGCTGACAGCTGTCCCACACAGAGATGTGGCTCCCAGACAGTAGACTAGTAAACCTTACAAGGCACAGATGAAATATATGGCATCTTCCAGTTTGTCCCTGAGACAAACGGCTCATATCAGTTCCCCTTTTCTCAACAAGAGAGGAGCAGGCACACTGGCCGGCCCTGATGGGTCAGCTCTTCTTGCGGGCTCATGCACACCACACACTGAGCCAGGAGAGCCCTCCAGGGAAGGCTGCCGTGGTAGCTGGCACTCACCGTCGCCTTGTCCAGGACTTTGATGGAGCACGGCTCGGCCACACTGTGCTTACGCAGTGCCTGCTCCAACACCTGCAGGGGTGGCCGCTCCCACTTTCCAAAGACCACCAGGTCAATGTCACTGCAAGACAGAAACCCATGAAATCCCACTCTGAAGCCAGAACAGAGTCCCAGTAAGTATCCCTGCCAGGGAAGGAAACTGCAGACCAGAGGCAGCACACAGCAGTAAGACAAAGGCCAGAACAGCCCCCAGAGTTGCCCTGGCTTCTGGGGGAATGAGGGGCTAGGTAGGACACCCATTCCTGCCTCCTTCTCTGCACTGGACCACCTGCTCACCTGGGGCTCCTCCCAGGGCCTCGCTGCCCGCCTGGCGACCCCACTGCTGGCCATGTAGCCCTATGTCCCATCAGCTAGCATTTCTAGCCGTACTTGTAATCAAAGCGCCTGCTTTCCCTGAGCCCTCAACGCTCACATGCACAGAGATACCCTCCAGACAAGGAAACCTGAGAGGCACCGTAAGAAGCCCGTCACTCACCTGGTTGGGAGATAGAGACCTGTACTGAAGCTGCCGAATATCTGCACCTGCAAGGAAGAGGGCTAGCCTCAGACACGCCACGGTGCAGTGGACAGACGGCCATGCCCACCAGTGTGAGGAGACTTCAAAGATTCCGTTATCTTTACATCCCGCTTCCCATGAGCTTTGGAAGCCCCTTGTGCACGTGGTAAATACAACAGCTATCTCACAAACTGGGAGGGAAAACATGATCCAAGAATCAACTAGAAAATCCTTTCAATCCTTTAAGACCTGCTTCAGAAGGAAAGCCTGAAAAACTCAAAGAGATGAACCAATCATTGGCCTCGCTCTACACTCCACGAGGAAACCTCTCCAGAACCTATTCCAAAGAACAATTCTGCAGCCCAAACTAGAGCACAGGGCAGTGCTCGGCTCCGAAAGCTCCCAGCCCGGAGGGCAACTTCTCCCTCACAAGGGCCCTGAGCAATAGAGGCCGTGGAGAGTGGGCGTCCAGTGTTACCTGGGGAGACATGTGCCCATGGAGCCTGGAGTGACCGTGCTGAGAGTCTGGAGAGGTCAGTGTGGCGCTGGTGACAGATAAAATCATGGTGACCAGTATGCACTGTACCATGTGCTGACTGATGTGATCTACAGTGTGTCCACACTGCTCAGCAGCTGGAGTGACCAGTGTGCTGTGGTGTCTGGGACTAAGGTGGAGAGGACGGGCCCTGTACATCTGCTCCACGTGCCCCCACTGACCTCAGCTCAGCTCACACTCACGGCTGCTGTGAGGGCTGGGAGTGGGGAGAGAAGCAGGCCTTACACACGCACACCCATCCCTGGCACATGGCAGGAAGCAGGTACCGCGGGGTCCAGGGACGCTGCAGCTGCTGCCTAGCCCCCCACCATCAGAACCCCCTGGTCTGATAGACACCATGGATGAGGAGTGACAGAGAAACGGACAGGATACTCACGTCAGCGGTCGGCCAGAGGTCTTTGATGACGGTTTCGATGCGCTTTACGACTTCTCTCCGCATGGCCGCCTCCTCAGGACACGGGGACATGAAGTTATAAAAGTCAATGATTTCTTCATGGAGTCTAGAAAATGAGAGGAGATAGCCAAACTAGCACCTGCCCACTCCTCCTGTCCTCCACTCCATCTCTCTTCTCTTACCCCTCACGGGACCCAAGCTCCGTAAGGAGGAGTACATGCCGCCGGTTCCCTCCAGACAAGCTAGCAGCTGACGCTGATTTCAGCTCATCCCAACAAGTCACTTTGGTGACTCCACATTAGGAAAAAGCAAACCTACTAGGAGCTTCCAAAGCGTGGGGAGACGTGGAATTGACAGCTCATGGGGATTTTCCACAAACTTCACAAAACCCCTAACACATATTTTCTCATTAAAAAAACGGAGAGAGGACTCTATCCGTGAGTGGTAAACCCAGTAAGGTCCTGCCAGCCCATAGCTCGAGAGGCTGTGACAGGAAGAAGGCAGGAGGCCGGAAGATGCAGTGAGGAGGGCCTGGCCTCAGCAGCTCCGCGAGGCCGACGTCCACAGTGACCGGCCACTGCGAAGAGCAGTCCCCCAGAGGGAGAGCTGGTTCACTCCACTTGCCCCCCCCCCCCCTTACAGGACCACACAAGGAGTACGGGCAAGGGTTCACATCCAACATGGCATTTCCAGGGGAGCAGAGAAGAGCTGCGGCCCGCCGCCCTGAGAAGTCACCTGGAGCTGCCCCCCATGAGGGCCATTCATTGTGCAGGAGTTCAGGGCCCAGAGAAGAACAGGCCACCATGCTGTACTTTAAAGTTTAATCACGGAAGGTGGGGAGCCCAGTGACCTAAACTCACCTACCTGCTTCTACTCTAAGTTTGAGTAACAAAGACCAAAGAAACCGTTCAGTTCGGTAGCAGCAGCCCCAACTCTCTCCCTACTTTAGCAGGGCCTTCCCCCACTCCCTCCAAAAGAGCCACTTTACGGAGAACCACTCCAAACACCGTGCAGCATGGGGCCAGGTACAGGGCAACGACTCTGGATGGCTAGACACCAACCATCCAATCCTCGGCACATCTCTGAAACTGGCAAGCCCACCATTCAGTCCCGGCACACTTACGAGATCTGGGAGTCCACCACTGGGCCCAAATTTTCATTTCTGATTTTTTTTTAAAATCAAATATATGAAAACTTTACCTTCCTCCTAGCATGGTTTCCAATTTATGGCAAGTCTGTATTTAGTAGATGCAACAATGTATCAAGAAACGCGACAGTGAAACACAGTAATTTTTCCAAAGTATCTACTACATGCCAAGATTTTCAGAGCTTCTGTCCTAACAATTACTAAGCACCAACTCCACAGAAGGCTTGAACTACATCTTTCTCTTGCCATGGACCTCGGACATGGCAGCTGTAACAACAGCTCAAACACTATGACTGTAAGGGTGGCGGGGGGCAGGACTGAGCAGCACTGGCTCATAGGGTCAACTCAACAGCACCTAACAATGATGCTTTCAGCAGCTGGTCAGTGCCCAGTCACGGCTTAAACCCGGGTCTACCAGTCCATGCAGATGACCCCGCATGTCGTTCGCTATGACTAATTATGATACAATCACTCCAACAGACGATGAAGTCAGAGACTACCTTATGGCCTGCCCTAAAATCCAGGTGCATGGGAATGACAGTGTTTGTAAGTGGGATCAATGAAGTCAAAGGATGAAGACGACAATACAGGGGCTCCCTGGCTGTCTCCAACTTCCAGGGCCTTCCTTCCTAAATGCTGAAACGGAAACCCTAAGGCTCACAGAGCAGAGGGTGCCAGGAGCTTTGACCTACAACGGAGCAATTCCATCAGAAATCTGCTGAGCATAAACCAATGAAAAAGCACTCAGTAAAACTTCACGTAAAAGAACATGAAGGATGTGGGGCTGCCAAAAGACCAGGCACCTCATAAGCCAGAGATGGCTGAGGAGGAGACAAGACGGCAGCTTACTCAGCCCAGCCACTGTCCCCAAAACATGACGGCACAGTCTGGGGTGTGCTCGCTGCAGGACCGTGGGAAAGACAACCATAGGCCAGAACGTGGTGGGGGGTGGTTTTGTTGTTGATTCAGCCCCCAACTCACGGTGACCCCGTGTCTTGTGCCGGCCCCATGATCAGAGCAGCTCATCCCCAGGACCTTCTGCCTCATCTTAGTCTGGAAGTCCCCCGGAGCCCCGGAGCCTAGCCACATAGAAGCCTCCACTGGCAGACAGGTGGTGACACCGAGAATGAGGGTACTGGCCAGGACTCAAACCAGAGAGTGAGAAGTCCACTGCCAAACCACACACAGAGCATCAAGCAAAAGCCTCCCAGACTGATGCTGCTGCGAAGGCCCATCGGGGGACAACAGGGCCTGCGTATGTCTGCGTGTTGAGCCCACGTGAACATGCAGGTAGGAGGTGAAGCCACAAAGCACTGCTACAAAATCACAGAAGGTGAAGCTCGAGTTTGTCAACTTCTCCTCATCAAGCCTCTCCTCTTCTGACGGCGCTGCTCCCATCTCTAAGCCTCTATGAAGGATTTCACAAGCTTCAGTTAATACCACATCAGAACGGCAAGGTGGGCATCCTCAAGGGGCGCAAATCATGGTCCTTCTCACGTGTGAAGGGGCAGGACCAGGGGCTGTAGGGAGGGCGGGGTACAGCCCTTGCTCCCTCCAGGACTGAGCAGCAACACTGTGGTGAGGAACAAACATTCCCCAGAACAGCTTTCTCGCCTTTTCTCAGCACAGTTGTCAATTTCTTACAGCTTCTCCCTATTCAGCCGCCATGATCACCTTTATCCTGCCAGAAAATCTATCAAGATGACCCTTACCATAGCCTTCGGATTTGAGCGCTCTGCCTGAATTGGATTGACCCAGCAGATACCCTCAGAAGCCAGTATTTGGAGTGGACCTTTTTCTGAAGCACGCTAACAAAATGAAGACGAGTTGTATTACTGAGAGGACTTGTCGGCGGCCATCCACGGATCACACAGACATGTTGAAACACATCCAATTGGGAATAACTATAGTGGGTTACAAGCTGGGCAGCTAAGCACCAGATCAGCAGTTTGAATCCACCAGCCGATCCACAGGAGAATGAAGAGGCTTTCTGCTCCCATAAAGATTTACAGCCTCAGAAACTCAATACAAGGTTACTACCACCACCACACCATTTGGAATAAACCTGTGAAGGAACCAACAGTTCTATTATGTAAACACAGACCCATGGGGCAACATTCACAGACTTGGTTTCGTCATTTCCTACGATGGTAATAACAGTAGCCAGCCAGGTCTTCATCCAGGTGGGCAGGCACCTGGGAGAAGATCTTCCCAAGAATCAGTGAACCCACAGAGCCACAGCCACCTCCCCCATCTCTAAATCACACTGTCCCTCAGCATTTCAACAGCCAGAAATGGGGACACAGCCTACCACCAGTGGATGAGGAAATTTCTAGGGGAGCTTTACCTCTGACCCACAAAAACCACCATTCCAAATGGGTCATCTGAAACGGACTAGGAGAAGTCCTGGCGGAGCTAGGCACTGGGCTGCTAACTGCAAGGCTGCCAGTTCAAACCCACGGCCCACACAGAGGGAGAAAGCTGAGGTTGTCTGCTACTGTAAAGATCAGCAATCTTGGAAAATCCTATAGAATAGGGTCACTATGAGCCAGAATATACTGAATGGCATCGAGCTTGGGCTTTATTGTAATCTGGGGTGGGGGCATGTTGAGGAGATAACAAGAATGAGTAGAAAGAAAACTGAAGGTCTTTAAAATCCAGGAGCTGGGGAAAGACCAGTGGCAGGGAACAGGTACCCAGTGGGCGCAATGCTGGCCTGCTTGCACCTGAGACTTCCTCACATTGCATTCAACCTTGTCCTGCCAGAAAAGCAGGACAAACACTTGACCCTCCTGTAAGCTGGTTACAAGGAACCTCCACACCCAAGCCCCCCAAATCAGGGCTGTGACCCGAAGTGCCCCAAGTCCATGGACCACTGAGGTTAGATCCCTGGCCCACTGCTGGGGAACCTGTCCAAGGATGTTGACACATGGTACCATCTGTAATCTCTCAGGGTCCTTGGACAGTTTCCCCGGCAGCACACACACTTGCCCTGGAAGTACAAAGGACCTGCTATAGCACAGTGCTCTCTGCTCTGGACTGGACAGCTGCCTCTGAAACGGACCTCCCCCTTCAGGAACAAGACAGGGTCCCCAGGACACACTGGAGGTCCCATAAGAACAAGCCATCACCACCTTGCTTTTCTGCCTGGACAGCAGACGTAAAGTGCCACCCACTTTGTGGGCCAGCTCCCAGGGAACACACAGTAGCACTGAGCGTACCATCAGGCAGAGCTGGAGTGCTCAGGCCGGGAACCCTGGGTGCAAGAGTCCCCGAAACCATCGCTGCCCATTCGATTCCACACCACAAGCCCCAGAAGCCTGTCGCACTCTGCTAGGCACACCTGCTTTTTTAGCCTTTGGGCAGGATTGGACGAAGAACCCCAGAGACCACTTCCTGAGCTTCCAAAGGCAAGGCGCGGAGCAGCAGCTTGGACTGCCGCTTCCATCTATAGGTAACAGTTGACTGGGACAGAGAATCGACAGCCAGACGCCATCTACACTGTTAGTGGAACGGACAGAAACGTCACTTCGTCGGCTTCCCTAGACCAAACTTACCTGAGGATAAGGGCTACCACGTGGGCCCCGTCCTCTGTGCTCTCATCCACATGGACGCTGTGTGAGGTGCCGTGTTGAGCGCAGGGAGAGGAAACACGGCCACCCTCCTCAACAGCCCCACGCCGCATAGGAAGAACGTCAGAGAAGCCTCATGACGCAGAAGGCAGAACTGCAGTTCAATGACGACAACACCAAGAGAGAGCCGGGAGTGGAGCGCCTGCTGTGGACCAGGGGTCCCTGCACTGTGAAGCTCCTAGATCTAGGGCACACGTGGAGAGCTCCTAGGAACGCTGGACCTCCCGATGCCGAAAGGAAACAGGAGAGAAGGCGAGACTTTCCTGGGAACCGGCGTCGGAAGCTAAACTAGGAGAGAGTAAATCTGTCTGTTTAAAGAGAGCTGGG